GTTCCCAACATATGCTCCCACGATGCGCAACAAACATAGTCGGAATCAGGATGTTTGCTCCACAGGGGCCCTTCATGGCAGAGGCTTTCTTGCCCTGCCCTGAAAGTCTGGCTACGTTGCATGCACTGGTCCTGGCAAAGGCATCACTTCTTCGACGTGAAACATGTGGGACACACGCGTCGCGAAAATGAAGAGGGAGTAGATGTCAACATATCGCGCATCACCATTCGTCGGCATGTGTTCGTGCCACACCACGTGGTCCTACTCGAACATTGCGCATCTTCTCGAGGAAGATCTACGCCATCGAGAAGCTCACAGGCACTTTGAGCTGGAGCTGAGATTTTGGGTTGTAGTCGGCCACCGAGGCAACTGCTTGCAACGTCTTACTTTCGATCAAGCAGAACAAAGCCAGGCAAGGCAAGATGGGTTCTATGCACCCACAATGCATGTGGTAGACCAGGCACTGCTCGTCCAACAGGCAACCGAGGACGGATTTCAACGGATCCGAGAAGTGACTGGCTTGACCGATGTTATGGAGATCGTGCAGAAGTTGTAAGCTCAGACTACTGGCACAAGCATAGCGGCAATGCGCAATGCTGTGGCACCACTCTGCAGATTCCTGCACCGGGAAGATGAGCACGAGCAGTGCCCAGCTGCACTTGAGGATGCTTGGGGTTTGTCTCATGCTTGTGCGTTTTCAGACCTCCGGCACCTAAGCTGCCCTTGGAACGGTTTTGGTGTTCCCAGGCTGAAAACTACTGTCAGAGAAGCGGAAGCCCGGCTCCACCAACTGCGTGAGGAGGAGGCCCGCAATCCGCAATGGCTCGCCATGGCACCGTTCGCTGTCCACCTGAGCCGAGGCCAGTCGCCCCTGCGAAGATGCCGTGGGCTGAGTGTTTCAGCTGGAGTTTTGCGAGTCGCACTGATTGCATAGCTGCCTGGCTGGCTGACCATCTCCACCTCCACTTGGATTTTCACCTCCACTTCCATCTCCATCTCCACCTCCACCTCCTCCAGCTCCAGCTCCACCTCCAGCTCCACCTCAGCCTCCACCTCCAGCTCCTCCACCCCCATCCTCATCCCTATCGCTATCTTTATCTCTGTCCGTATCCCTATCTCTCTCCCTGTCTCCATCCCAGCTCGAGCTCGAGCTCCTCTAGCTCTAGCTCTAGCTCTAGC